TTCTTATAACTACAAATTAATAGTTGTGACCTTTAAAACACTTTGAATATCATTCGAAAGATTCCAACTGAGTTTTGAAGTACTGGTGGTTAACTGCATCTTTAAAGCAATTTTTAAATTATAGATGAGCAATTTTTTTTTTTTTTTTCCAAGATTCTGTCCAGAACACGAATTAAGATTAATAAAATTAATAGGCATGGCATAGACTTGCATTAAAGATTTTGGTGAAACAGGATTTTACCCGTCATTCACTGTGCACTTAGAATGACAAAGCTGTGTAGATATCTTGAGAATTAGAACTGGCCGAATAAATTTTTTCATTGGAGTTTTGAAACACAGGAAGCCATCCCAATTTGTAATCTCATTTGTAATAAAATAACTTGAAAGGAAGCCCTTTGTAATATAACTTAGTGTGGTAGATGGATGCATAAATCGAAAAGCAGTTTGTACAAAATATGTAAATTACAGGAGTTTAGAAATGTTGGTAATAATAGAAAGCATAATTTTAGTAATATTATTTCAAGTGATGTCTCGAATGCAAAATTAATTACATTGTAATATTTTGAAATTTCTTGTGATTTTGTAATATAAATAATAGATGTATTTAAAGTTTTTGTATTTGAAAAGTTTTAAAATTAAAAGCCTTTCCTGAAAAATATAATTATGTTGTCAAAATTTTATTATTTTTTAATTTTTCTAGATTTGTATTTTTCAAATCATTTCTCTTCTATTTGCTAATGCTCTAGCATTTTCTCTCTAAAAAGGCTTTTCTCTCACCAAGACTTAATTTGGTGAAATCTTAACCCGACATCCAGATATTAATCTGTTATGTGATCCACAATGTAATGTGGTATAAAAGGTCTTTGCTGCACACAGAGTCTCTCGCTCTCTTTTGCTTCAACTCTTTTGTGTCGAATCTGTTTCTTGGCCCTGTTTGGTTTGCCACTTTCTTGCTACTAACTATGCTGTTATTTAAAATGCGATACACTATATAAAATTGTGGGGTGCATATTGCACCCATGATGATGTGAGAGGAAGAATGTGTTTCAATAAATAGTTCGTTGTCCAGCAATAAAAATTGTGTTCAGTTTGGCCTTGTGTACGAGCCTCTCCTTCGTTATGCATCATTCTGCAAAACAAGTGCCCTAATCTATTATACCTTTCATCCAGCCATCAAGATAATTACAGTTATTATTATTATTACATATATGTATTGAAAGATAATACAAAAAATAAAATAAAATTTCTTTGGTTTTGCTGGAACAAATATAGAAATTGTGCTTCCCCCCTTCTTATAAAAAATTTATAAAAAAAAATATAAAATTGCGATTTTTATTTGTTCATATTTCAGTATGCCTTGCAAAAGACTATTTTGTAAACCATTGCTGTATTAACCATTAAACAAAACAAACACATGCTTGGGGATCAAGCAAAGGGGATACCATAAGAAGGATGTTAGGGACTTGGGAAAGTAGATACTACAAAAATTTCCTATTGCCAATTTTTACCATGGAATGCATGTTGCAGCTAACTCAAGACTAAGAAAAAAGGAATGAAGGAAAAATTGGCAAAAACACATGCAAAGGCACCAAAATCTTTTAAGTGCATATAAAAATCATGATCTGGCTGTAGCTTGAAGCCGCATTTTTTAATGCATTACCAACTGACTGTTTTATTTTGAACAGATTTGAAAGACTATACTTCACATGAAAATAGAAACAAGTTTATTTGGGTAACAAAGTGTAAACAAATTTTATTAAAGATGCTTTTACTTGAAAATTTAAAGAAAAAATATTGTAGAAAAATTTAAATTATGATCATTATTTATGCATTATAATGTGTTTTTGGCAAATGCTCATCTATAAATTTTTAATTTGGTTGAAAAACACAAGCAAATGTAAGAAATAAAGGAAAATTTATTTTATTTGAACTTATGTCACATTATGTCTTGTATTATTCGTTCAGAATGTTTTTTTTATTAATAAATTTTCACATCAAATAAAAAGGGATATAAAATACCATAGAGAGAAAAAATTACACCTGCTGTAATTTGATCCCAGAATTCTTCATCTAAATGCCAGCCTGTTACTATTAAGCCATAGTGGGGCAATGAAAAGTAAATGCGGTTCAGATTGTGGTTAATGATAAATTATCGTTATTTTTTTTTAATGTAATGTTAAAACTCATCTGTTGAGTTAAAAAAATGAATTTTTGGATGATTTAATTCAAAACTCTGGTCATATTTGATATACTGTACAAGAATACAGTAGAATAACTCTTTTTCTGGAGTTCTTGTCTTTGCGTATCCTTTGACCTAATCTATTTTTCATACATTATGCGACAGGTAAAATGCCAAAAGATTAAAGCAGGTAAGTCTTTATCACTGATGCCAACATTCTATGAAATGTTGTAAGTAATGTATGAGATTACATACAAGATGCTAAAAGGAATAACAAATAATCATTTAGTTCTGTGCTTTCAATTTTTTAATAGTCTTTGTGTAAATGTGTTTGGTACATAATTAAGGCAAAAATTAAGTTAATTAATAAAATAGAGGAATTAAGAAGAAGAAGAGTATTATTACCATAGAATATGACAAACCTTTAAATATTTTATCAGCTTTCTTGAAGTAATAAATTTGTGAACTACATGATTGATCAAGATTTGATTATACAGTTATAAAAGCAATAAAAGTAACTAAGTAACCAAAGTTGTCTCCCAGATGGTATAATGGTTAGGTAGTCTACTGTGGTACCGAAGGGTCCAGGTTCGAATCCTTGAATGTTTGTAAATGCATAGTGTCTTTGTGGCATGGGGGCATTCTAAATGTATGGTGAGCCAAAAGAGCTCTCGTGTGGTTTGGTGGAAGGGGAGAGGGATGGGAAGACCCCCCACCCCCAGGTACTCTCCCTTAAGTCCAACCTTTCTTTGGCGTAGGCTCTGGCAACCCTTCTTCCATGTAATATGGACCTGACAACAAGTAACCAAAGCTGTTGAGTGCATTTTGTAGTAGTTTAATCAATCATATAACTGTAAATGATGCTTGAGCATTCTCGAAATATATACCAAAGCTAAAGTGTTTGCCAAAAAAATTAGAAATATGTAATTTCAGAGTAGATTTAGGATAGTTTTGATAATTTTAAGCTGTATTCCAATCTTTAATGATTTGTGCAGAAAACTGCTTATTAGAGAACAAGTTCATTTAATGCTTTGAAAATTATATTTTGGAGAAATTTAGTCTTCACAGCTCTGATGTGAATGCTGTTTGAATAAAATGCTTCAACAAATTTTAATAACGTATACTGATATTCATCTGCAATGCAAAGGTAAAAAGTTCCTGTGAAGCCTTTAAAAAGCTGAAATGTAATTAACTTTAATTTTTGTCAGAAAACTCCTGGTGTTCTTGTTTCTTTGAAGAAACCTGTCAAATCATCTCAGCAGCTCTTAGAGTTTAAAACAATATTAAAAGAAATAATAATCTGATAAATACAAAATTGTATAAGTAAACATTTTTTACATATAATGTAGTTTCATCTTTCAAATGAAAGCTACATTATATGTAAAAAAAAAAAAAAAAAAAAAATGCAAGCACAGCAGAAGATTTAAAGGAGATGGTGATGATGATAGTATATTAAGTTATCAGCATATCAATAATTTGTGTTCTGTCTAGCTGAAACTGAAGAGTCAGAGTTTGTTATATATTGTGGCTTTTGTGAAAAACTTTAAATAAGAAGATTTGGAATAATCTCATTATTCCTACATGCTTTTATCATGTTTTGGGTAGCATTTTCGGCTTACAAGTGAATCTTACTTAGGAAGATCGACTTACAAAGAAAGGCTTGAATCCCAGGAAAAACACAACTGAATTGTCTTGTTTTCTACACCAGTAAACTTAATAGATGTCTGTGTAATGATTACAAAAGCTGAGGCATTTTTTTAAGTCATATCAGTCAGGTAATCAAATTATGCTGCAAAACTATCTTAAATTTCTGTGTATCATAATTATACTTTTCAGCCATCAGTACTTCTAAGCCATCCTGACTGAGCACTTGCTCTTTTTTTAAAAAAAATCTTGAATAGTAATTTAGTTATTTTGTTCTTCATCATAGAAATTAAAATCAAAAATAGAAAATAAACAATTGTAGTGAAATTTAATCATGATTTATAAATAAATATTCAAAAGTTAATAATTATGATCATAAGATTACACTGTTACCTGCCAACTCTGATAATTTATTAAAAATCTATATAAACTGTTTATTATAATGTAGGAATGCTATTAAGTTTATTTTTGTTCTTTTTGATTTTTTACTTTTTATGGTACTTTAATTCATTATAGATCTGTAACATTATCACAGTTGCAACTAGTGGTGTATTATTTTGTGGTGTTAGTTCCTTTAGAATTAATAAATAACTATTTTAAATGTATATTTGATTATCTTAAAATACATTCATTACTGTTTTTTTACATGTCGAGATAGTGGTTAGTGACTCTGACTGCCATACCAAAGGGCCCAGGTTCGAATCCCAGAGAAGGCATGGATGTTTATAAATGTAATAGTGTCTATGCAGCTCGGGGATACTTTAAATATGCAATGAGCCAAAATTCTTCTGGGGAGGTTGGTGTTAGGGGAAGAGGACCAGACCAGACTCCTTGGCGTTCTCTTTCTTTATCTTAAAATCTGGTGTGGAACTGAGGTGAAGTCAGGCTGTCACTTTTATGATGTTCGAGGCTCTTGGTATGACAGGCATATGTCTTCTTGCATGATGAATGTCATGAGCTTGTGCTGACCTTTGTCATACAAGTGAGATTGGTAACAACAACTTGTTTCATGTGTGAATACTTTTTGTTTTAATTCATGAATTATTCTTTCAAAATGAGTCTGTTATCTGTGTTTGTATTTTTTTGGGGGGACATTTTACAAAAAAAAAAAAAAAAAAAAAAGTATTAAAAAAGTCTAAAAGTAATTTTAAAACTTTAATTATGTTTATGTTTACAGTTTATTCCAATACACTGAATACCCTTACTACGGCTTATATGGCAGCATGTGACAAACAAGGTATAAAGCCTCTGACTTGTGTCTTGGATCAATTACAGGTAAATGGATTTTTTAAGGATTCAGACAAAATCTTATCTCTACTAATCTATAATATAAAATTATGGGTAAGATTAGTAATTAGATTTATTTTGCTATTACAGAAATACATCCTTATGCATTCTTTATACACCTCCTCCTTCTTATCCTTCCCCAAAAAGTACTCATGTGAATAACATGCATTTCACTCAGTTAACATAAAATAAAAATCTGACAGAAATTACATATGGAAATTCTAGTATTTATTAATGACACTTTGAAAACAGTCAGTTATTGTTATTTTCAACTTCTTTAACAAATGTCAGAATAATTTTTAATAATTGTGGGAAAGATTTAACCAAGTATAAATTTTCTTCTGCAAATATATATCATTTTGATGAAACAGAATTATAATAATTTAGTTCCTATGGTAGTTGCAGAATGTAATGAAAAAGAAGTTGGACAATATGAAATGAAACAGATTAATTTATCACATTTCATTGATTAATTAGTGCATTAAGGAATATTGTTCCACTTGTATTCAATTTCTGTGAGAAAAACTGTGAAGATTTCTTTCTAAAAACTTTTAAATAAATCTAATGATTACTTTCAAATATGTAAAATTAGATAGGCATTGATTTTAAATATAGTGGTTACTGAATCAACTAGCTATCTTTTAACTGATAGTTTCTATTATCTGACAGCCATTGAGATACAATAAATCCCCATTGAAAAAAAATAAATAAATAAAACACTTTCAGGTTTTATATTACGCTTAAAAGAACTTTTTTTTTTTTTTTTTTTTTTTTTTCATTTAGTGTGTTACCTTTCGTATTAAATATATGTTTCACTCTAAACATTAACATCAACTTAACAGCATATTGCAAATAATTTAAGAGATTCTTTTTTTTTTTTTGAAGTTCCGTTGAGTTTGGTGGTGATTGAGATTAATTGGTGCCCGGACTTGTTTATGTGTCGTCCCCCCGTGGTACGGAGGTTTGCCATTTCGCTTGAAGTGTGTCTTCTAAAAAAAATAATAAGCTGTATAGAATATGATAATAATTCATAAAGCCAAAAAATTCCAATTCGGGCTTCAGATGCTCCTATTCGGGTGGAGAATACCGTTATTAAAAAGGGATGGTTCCTTAGCGTTACCGCCCCATTGTTTTTTACAAATGTGAAAATACATGTTATGCAGATCTTCATATTTAATTTCTTCTTAAATATAATAAGGGCTTATATTGGTGACACAATTTAAAAAAGGATTCGCCATTTGTGTGAATCACGCAAAATGTGAAATGAAGTAATAGCCGTTCTGAGCTAAGCTCGGGGCTAATAAAACATTTTTTTTAAAAAAATAGTCTTATATTATGCAGTAAAATATTACTTTATCATGGTATTTAGAATAAAATACTAAAATAGTCTCTTAAAAATGTAGTATTATTCAGAATATGCAGCAAAAATTACATATTGCTATACACACAAAAAAAAAAAAAAAAAAAATTCCCATTAAAAATTACTATGTAGGTGTGGTAGTTAGGGAATATCAAATTCTTTGTAAATAATTCTCCAGGCAATTGTAAAACCTCATGAACCAGTAAATGAACAGAAGATACATTGAAACAGCAAGAGATTGCCTCAGTCATGCATACCAGGTGATGGAGTTGAATATTCAGTCTCTTTCTTATACGAAATCTGACCAACATGACTCTGTAGGGTTTCCCCTAATTCAATTAACCGATTATTCAAAATTTTGTTATTTTTCCTGAACTCTTCAACTCCCCCTCGCATTTCCTCGCCAGAATGCTAATTTAAAGTTAAGTGAAGTGAGTCTTTAGACGGGTGAATCTGAAGTTTATTCAAAGAGTGTTTTCACTAGCTGGCGCATGTTACGTGTCTGTCCTTGCTGATATGCTTTTTGGCCACTTGAATAATTATCATGCTGGGTAGGTTGGTGAGTCAACCTAGTTAGCCATAACTTAAAAGTGGTGGTCCAGCACTACTCTTTTTAGACTTGAATTTATGGTGTTACAGTTCTTAAGTTCTACCGCAAGTTGTTAGTGTTATAGTAGAGCATGAAGTATGTGCCTTTCTGTTCATAGTTGTGAATAATAAAAAAAAGAGTTATTTCCACCCTTCTTCTGTGCTGGTATTATTTCACGCCTGTGTGAGAAGTTGCCAGGTTTATTAGTAGGATCTAGTGGAGTTTGTGTGGCCCAAGAGAGTAAGATCCTATAACTTTTTTATTTAATAGTTTTTTTAATTAGGAACAGTTAGAGGAAAAATAATGTAAGCGAATTCTGTTATTACTTTTTGTTTATGGGTATTGAAATAAATATAATATTTTTAAAGGAATTTTATTTTGTATATGCTTTGTTCATATGTTCCTTGTGATTTATGATGTTCGATTAATATTCTTACTTGAAAATCTGGAAAATTGATTTGGATAACAACTGTCAATCCAAAAATTGATTTGAAAGCCTTTAGAAATGCAGCTGTGACTTACGCAACCCCATATATCTTCATTTGCATGTGTCAGTGGTATATTTACATCTACCACCTTGTAGGACATATGTGAACAATTTAATCAATTTTTTTTAATGATTGCAAAGTTTGGAAGTTTGTTATAAAAAATATAAAATTTCTTCCAAAGACGGGAAAAGTAAATATTATAAATCAAATTTTATTTAATTTATGACATCGAGAAGCTGTCAGAAATTTAAAATTGCTTTTAAGTGCTTTCCTTCATTCCTTACTTTTTTCTGTATTTAAATGGTGCTAATTGAACTACATGTATAGCATTTTGGTAAAAATTAGCAGCTTTATTTGAATTTATATCAAACTAATATTTCAGAGAGCAGTTGGCTTTTAAAATATCTATGCATATCTCTCTGTAGTGATTATTGCCTACCTACTGGATGGTTAAATCCTGTGCAGAAATAGATTGGCTTCATGTGATTTTAAATTCTCAAGAAAGGGAGACATAGGAGTGAAAATATCTTTGCAATATTCTGGTTCTGTAAATAAAAATCTAAACTTTTATGCAATCTTTTAGATAACTTTTTAAAATGTTCATTATACTTTAAGGAATTAAATGCAAAAAATTTCATACAGTTAACTTGCAAGACTTATGGAGATATTTGAGAACAAATATGCTGATTTTAGTAATTTTTTTCAGTGTTATTGCTGAATGAGGTTTCAGCAATTAAAGTTTTGTTTTGGGTAAAATAGCATTTGTTATTTACTTTGTAGCTATTTACTTGAAACTATTTAATACTGGTACCTGTGAATTTTACTTGCAAAGAGGCAGAATGTTTTGTATTTAATTTAATAAAGGACAATGAGTATTTATTAACTAGATGTTTTACTGTAGAAGGACTGTATAAAAAATAAACCATTCCCTTAACACTGAAACCTTTCCAATAAAACACTCAACCCAAAATATGTGGTTGAAAGAGTGTATCTAGTATCAGTCTTTAGTGGAATAAAGCCACTGCTACTTGGTTGGTGCAGAGAGTTTTATACTTATCTGCATAATGTGCAGGGTCAATACATTTCTTTTTTAAATGATTTTTGTTTGATGGGCAGTTTGAATGCTTTTCCTTTAAGACTTTTGAAGTAATTATGCAAATATTAGATTAAAAAGTGGGAAAACAAGAGGGGGTTAAACTTGAAGAGATTGATTTTTTAATATCCCATCAGAGAATTAAGGTTTTTTATGCTCTTTCTGAGCTCGTAGTTTACCAAACCACTCTGCTCTTGAACTCACTCTTGCTGACACAACTTTTTTTTTTTTTTCCATCTTGTTAACTTTATTATTAAGCATCACTTTCTTTGCACTAGCGTCACATAAAATTCAACTTAAATCACATAGTTTTTTAGGGTAATATATTTTTAGAATTCCCAATAGAGTATTAAGTGATGCTATACATTTTTTTTTCAGTCTTTTCCCAGTTTACTGTAACAAAGGTGTTCCCCCCCCCCTCTTCAGGATGACGTACACAACTTTTCTTTTATTTTTTAAAATTTATTGTTAAACATCACTTTCTTCAAATTTATGCCACATAAAATTCATCAGCAAAACCACAATTATTTTTAAAAAACAGTATGTATTTAAACTTTCTGCAACATTCAGGTTTCTTTGTAAAAAGATATATAAAACTTTTCTTGTCTTTTTATTAACTTTCTAAAATTTATGTAATAACTTTCTTTGCACTTGCACATAAAATTCAAAAGCACTATGACGAAGTATTTAAAAACAGATTCTTTACCCTATTGCCATACATTTTTTCATATTCACTGCATTTTGTTTAAAAAAATTGATCTTTAAGAATTTAGTGATTAATTTTAATTTAATAGATTTCCTTTTAAAAGCATAGCAATTTTTTTTTTTTTTTTTTTTTTTTTTTAAATACAGTGTACTGTAGATTATCCAGGGTAATGCCAAGGAAACAGACTATGGATAACTGAAAAACATGGATAATCCAAACTATAAATTTTCATGCATATTATATGTGTTTATTTCTTTAAAATAATCAGTAATTTTACTTTGGTTTTCAGAACATTTAAATATTTGTTGAAATTCACTGCTTATTTTTCTTTATTTTATTGCTGTATTCAAATCCCCTTCAGTCGACGAAGTTTTTGTTTAACAATATCATGAACATTTGGTGAGCCCATTCCATATTTTTTATTGAGCTTAACTGTCGATTTACAATATTCAAATCTTATGATTAATGATTCTGTTTTTGGTTTCTTTGATTATTGGAAAGCACTCAGAGGCTATCTACCTATGGGATCATAATTTTTTTAAAAGCAGCATATGTTCTTGTTGTAGTGTTATGTGTTGGCATTAATTTTGTTTCAGTCCATCATATCAATGTTTAGTTTTCTTAAGCCCTTAACTACTGCGGAAAACATACAAGAGTCACTCCCCAGTGCCACCGTTTTTTTATACTTATACTGCCGCACATAGTTATGCAATGTATTAGGGGAAAAATAAGTGCAAGTTTTTCTGTCTAAAAACTGTTTACTTTCACAAAATAAAGAATAAAAAAAAAAATGAAAATACAAAATTTAATGTTTAGAGTAAAAGTATAATAAAAAAGATGTAAGTATAATAAAAATGATATTTGTATAATAAAAAAGATATATAATAAAAACTATAATAAAAAAGATCTCAAACAATGGAGTTTCGATCAATTTATTTTTAGACCACTAAAGTGTAATGCCAGGTTTCAGTATTATACCTTGTAGAATCAGTATACCTAAAAAAGCATGTATTTCACTGTTTCAGAAACATCCCTCTCTCCTATTCCTCCACCCTCTTCTCTGAAATAGTATCTTCCTTTGCATACTTTGTCAAGGTCATTGTGGCTATGCATTCCAAAGCTTTGTGAATAATTTTACTGGTAGCAGTGCAAAGCAAATGATAGTATTCCGGAAGGGCATATATACAGGGTGCTTCAAAACTATATATAAAAATTGTAAAGGCAGGTAGAGAGGACCTAAATATGCAGATTTCGTATAGGAATGTATGTGCAGTAATGCTGCATTGAACCGGTAGAAAGCACTGATAAAAGTGCTGCGCTAGCTGGATTTTTCATTTCCCTCACTAATCTCAAGCAGCATGCATTGTTACACCAATGCAGAGCTTGCCGATATGCATTTCATGTATGGGGCTGCACAAGGAAATGAATTAGCTGCTGAAAGAATGTATAGGGAGCAATTCTGCAGGGAGGGCTTACCTGAACTTTTGGTCGATGTTCCTCCAGCAACTTTTTGCGGACGAATGTGGTTCCAGCACAATGGAGCCCCAGCTCACTTCATTCGGAACGTCAGGAATCACCTGGACTGTGTCTATGGCCAGCATTAGATAGGATGGAGCGGACAAGTTCCCTGGCCACCATGTCCAATTTTTTTTCTTTTGGGATCATATTTAAGGCCTCGTGTATGGGAGTACCGTCACATCTGCAGATCTTTTTGCTTGCTTGTCTGTTGCTGCTGGACATGTGTTCGATATACCTGATGCCTTTTCTAATGTACAGCGATCCATGTGTTGCTGCTGCAGAGCTTGCCGACGAATCTTGTATCATTGTTGGTGGCCGCTCTTTCAAGTACCTATTATAAATTCCTTTATTCTTTTGTCTTTACGTGTCTTTTCAGTTTCTTGCGATTCATACTGTTTTGTGTGCTAACGCTTTAATGCGGCATTACTGCACACACATTCCTATATGAAATTTTTATTGTTTTCTAAAAACAGTACTTTCAGAAATTTATCAATTTCTACTTTGTATTGACTTTATTGTGTTCATTGCTTTAAAGCTTTATAAATGTCATTCCCCCTTCCAATGGAATTGTATTAAATTTAACAGTGCGATCTTGTTTATAATACACTGACTTGTGCCTTGATTTTGAACCTCAAATTTTCATCTAAGATATAATCTACTTTAATTAAATATTACTTTGCGGTATTATTTTGTGTTATTCCATAGCATTGATTTACCTTATAAATTACATGATTTTAATTTTTATCTTTTCTGATTTTTACTAGGAATTTGAGAGTTGCTCCCATAAATTAGAGTCTAATCCCCGTGCATTTGACCTTAGTATATTAGGTAAGTTCAAAAATGTCTATTTTTAAAGTTTTGTTACATTTAAATTTATACAGTCAAAAGTCGTTAATCCGGACTCGTCGGGACTTCGGCGATTCCGGATTATCGATTTTTCCGGATTATAGATCATCAGTTTAAATCTGGTAAGATGGCATGCAGAAATTACAAAATTAAAAATATGAAACCGTAATTTATGAAATAAAGAACAATTATGATCTAAAGGGTATCAAAATTTACAAAAAGAAAAAGCTTAATATTTATTTGTTTACTTATTAAAACATTTCTTTCAAGTAAGTTGCTTTGTTTCATGTGATAATACTTTCTCTTTAATTCTATTAAACGACATAATTTCTTGTTTAGTTACAAAGTCCACTGTTCAAGTCCTATAATTGCTGTGTGAGAATACGACTAATTTGTCAATAGAATGTTTCGTTTTCATAAACCTGTGGGGTCACTTTCTCACTATCGGAAGCGAATTATTTAATGACGAGGAACTTGATTTAAATCATATCAAAGACAGAGTACATCGAAATAAATACTACACTTAGTAGGAATTATAAGCCAAATAAAATAAAACACACTGCCTGAAGATAAGGATAGTGCTGGCAGATCAATTTCCAATCCGCAGCATGAAATTGATAAACAGATTCGGATTTCAAAACATACTTTCGCTTTGTAGATACAAATTACATATTAGTGTAAATATATATCGGAAATTCTATTGCTCTAACAGTCCACATAATAGATCCAATTCAAGCTTACTTTGGAAAAGCAAAAAAAAATTAACTCCAAGGTTGGGGGATTATACCGTACAACTTAAACGCACATGCACAAAACCATATTCTCAGCCGTAAAGGTCTTGCGCGCACTCGTAAACGCTCGTGAACACGACGCATGTGCAGAAAGTTTGTAGCTTTGAGGTCCGGATTATGGGTGTCCGAATTAACGACTTTTGACTGTATATAATTGCACTGTTTTGGTATTTTAATGGTAATTTTAATAATTACTCATTGCATGAGAAATTTGCAGCATGCAAAGTACACTTAAATTATAAAAATCGTTTTAAATTCTTATTTTTATTTAAAGTTTTTTTTGATAACTTTTTAAATACTTAGCATTTCAAATAATTTATTGGATATACTAATGAGTATTTTCCAAGGAATTATTCTTATTTATTTTTCTTATCGATATCGTTATTTACACTTCTAACTAATTAATCAAGGTAAAACAAAACTGCTGACCTTGTCCCAATGGGTTCCTACAGGGCCACTGGTTGATTTGATCTCCTCTGTGCATCTCTATCTGGAATCCTTTGAAAGAAATAATCCATCATGATCAATACATTCTTTACACAAACATATTTTAATGAAGATGCAAACGGGTTACAGACTATATACATAATGAAAAGGGTTTAAATTTGGCACGAGGCAGCGTGCAACTTCTCCGTTCTGAATTCTTGTGCGTTCTCTGAGCGAGAGTTCATAGTTCGAGATGACATCACTCTGCCATCAGATCTCAGCAAGGGTTGAGTTGCAACATCCTCTGGCCCAGAAGGACAATTGCAGCAATTGTGCTTATTACATTCCAGCTCCACTGGATATAGTAGTTGCACTGGTCTTTTAATTATATGGCCATTGGGCAAGCGGACAGCACAGGCTCTCACCATGCCATCTCTTCCAGGAAAGACTTCCATTATGATTAAGACACAATAACACGCCGAATAAATACTAATTCAGAAGTCAAACAACAAAAATCAGCGTTATACCTACAAAATTTTCACAGGACTAGTTTCAATGGTTTTACCGAACCATCATCTTCAGCTGCAAAACCGCAAATGAACGAGATAGGAAATAATGATTAGATAAGATAAGAAAGCCTGAACAAGAATAAGCAAGTGGCGCCATCTGTTGGCAAAACCAGAACTAAAACATAATTTCTCTAAAAGCCGAAGGCAAATTTGGATTGGAATTAGGATCGTTAACTAGAACAGAAAGATTTTTATGAATGTGAAAATGCCTCTAGAAAATCCAGTTCTCCAATGGAAGATGTTTTTTGAATAATTTTGGCAGCAGAAAAAATTGAAAGTGTGATTTCGGACCACAATGTTGAGCAACAGAAGACTTCTGTGTTTCCTTTTTTCTAACATATGCCTCATGTTCTTTGACGCGCGAAATTTTAAGGCTCTCTTAGTTTGGCCAATGTAAATTAAACCAACACTGGCAAGGAATCCTATAAATACCCCAGGAATTCATATCCGGAATGGGGTCCTTGAGTATAGAAGTTGGAATTTATTGATGGGGAGAATAAACAACCCGAAAGTTAAATTTCTACAAAATATGTGCAACTTTATAGCTAATTGATGGAAAGAAGGGAATGACAACAGAATTTTTATAATCTCCTAAAATAAGAGTGTGGCTTTTAGTGTGTTGAGATGAGAATTTTTTAACTGCTTGATTAATAATGTTAGGTGAAAAGCCCCTGTCAATAGCTATTGCTTTTAAAATATTTAGTTCTTCATCAAGGGCTAGTTTGGAGGAGCAAACTTGAAGAGCACGGAAAACATAGGAATAAATGAAGCTAACTTTTGTTTAGTCGGATGATGACATGATTTAAAGTGTGGTGGAAGGGCAAACCGATGAAGGTTTACGGTAAACTGTAGTACTGAAGTTGGATGTGTTACGTGTGACCAGAATGTCGAGAAACGGAAGAGAATTGCAAGTCTCAAGTTCAAAAGTGAACTGAATAGCAGGATCAATAGAATTCCATTGTTGAAAGAACTTTATTTAATCATCTTTATTACCTTCAAACAGGGTAAAAGTATCGTCTACGTAGCGGAACCATGCCGGGAAGTTTAAAGTTTCAAACAATTTTGATTCATAATAATGCATGTAGATATCAGTCAGGATGGGACTGAGGGGGCTTCCCATGGCTAATCCCTCAGTTTGCTTGTATATTTATTTTGGAAAACAAAATGTGTTTGTTTCAAACAGAGTTGAGTGAGAGAAATTAGCTCATCAATTTCGATGCAAGAGAAATGAAATTCGCAAAAGTCTGGTTTCTAGACATCTTATGCACCCTCCACTGGGACATTGGTGAAATAATAATGATTTTACATCAAAAGAAACCATGAGTAAATTACTAGGAGAAATGTTTTTAACTTTTTTACAAACTCTATTGAATTTTTTATGGTGTAAATGTATCTGAAAACTAAAATATTTAGCTAAAGGATACGAGGCAGTACCTAAATTTGATACAATAGGGCGGAAAGAAACCATTTCCGAGAAGTACCACTTCACTAATTCTTCACTCACTCTGTTTGAAACAAACCATTTTGTTTTCCAAATAAATATACAAGGCAACTGGGGATTAGCCAGGGAAGCCCCCTCAGTCCCATCCTGGCTGATATCTACATGCATTATTATGAATCAAAATTGTTTGAAACTTTAAACTCCCGGCATGGTTCCACTACGTAGACGATACTTTTACCTGTTTGTGAAGGTAATAAAGATGATTTAAATAAAGTTCTTCAACAATGGATTCTATTGATCCTGCTATCAGTTCACTTTGAACTTGAGACTTGCAATTCTCTTCGTTCTCGACATCTGGTCACACGTAACACATCCAACTTCAGTACTACAGTTTACCGTAAACCTTATCGGTTTGCCTTCCACCACACTTTAAATCATGTCATCCGACTAAACAAAAGTTAGCTTCATTTTATTCCTATGTTTTCCGTGTTTCAAGTTTGCTCCTCCAAACTAGCCCTTGATGAGAACTAAATTATTTTAAAAGCAATAGCTATTGACAGGGGCTTTCCCCAAAATTATTAATCAAGCAGTAAAAAAAATTCTCATTGAACACACTAAAAGCCACCTCTTATTTTAGGAGATTATAAAAATTCTGTTGTCATTCCTTCTTTCATCAATTAGCTATAAAGTTGCACATGTTTTGTATAAATTTAAATTTCGGGGTTATTTCTCCCATCAATAAAAATTCAACTTCTATACTCAAGGACCCCATTCCGGATGAATTCCTGGGGTATTTATAGGATTCCTTGCCGTGTGTTTAATTACATTGGCCAAATAAGAGAGCCTTAAAAATTTTGCGTCAAAGAAAATGAGGCATATGTAGAAAAAGGAAAACACAGAAGTCTTCTGTTGCTCCACTGCTGGTCCGAAATCACACTTTCAATTTTTTGCTGCCAAATTATTCAAAAACATCTTCCATTGGAGAACTGGCTTTCTAAAGGCATCACATTCATAAAATCTTTTGTTCTAGTTTAACGATCCTAATTCCAATCAATTTGCCTTCGGCTTTTTTAGAGAAAATTATGTTTTTAGTTCTGGTTTTGCCAACAGATGGCGCCACTTGTTATTCTTGTTCAGGCTTTTTATCTTATCTAATCATTATTTCCTATCTGTTCATTGCGGTTTTGCAGCTGAAGATGATGGTTCGGGTAAAACCACGAAATAGTCTGTGAAAATTTTGTAGGTATAACGCTGATTTTTGTTGTTTGACTTCTGAATTAGTAATTCCATTATGATGCCCATCTTCCACATCAGCCTTGGAATTTTATCTTCATGCACTAATACAATAGTTTCTTTCTTCAAACAGGTTCCTGTTTTCACCAGTTTGAAATGATGGGCAGATTTTAAATTCATCAAATAATCCTGTTTCCATTTTCTCCAGATTTTTTCTACCAGTATTTGTTGATATGTAAATCAACGTGTAAGACTTTCCTTTGTTGAAGTTAATTTAGAGCTTCCTTGCGGCAATGATAGTAACGTCCTATTAAGAAGTGACCAGGGTCAAAGATTCTGGCTCTCCCTAGATCCGAGTATGTAAATTTAAGGTCTGAGTTCAATATAGCTTCTACTTCTTATGACTGTCTCTTAATTCATGAATGTCAAGGATGATTTGCCTAGAATTCTCTTCAGAAGAGCTTTCAGAGACTGAACCATACATTCCCAAAAGCCTCCTCGCCATGCTGCCCTCTCAACTAT